AAATCTATGAACAATGGGAGGACACTGACAGTGACAGTATAACAATGCGTAGTACATATGTGATACACAGTGTATGATATAATATGTAATGTATAATATATATGTTATGAATATAAATCTATTTTATATATATAATGAATAACATGTAATTTATAACTTATGTAATATATGTATGTAATATGTGTGTAATAATATAACATATTTACTGTATAATCTAATGTATAATAATGTGTGGAATATATGTATGACTATATGTCCATGTGTAATGTACAATTTATAACATAATATATAATATACATATATTATACGTATACATCTATTTACATATACATCTCTTGACATATAAAGATATTTTATATAATATAATATACATTTACATATAATATATAATTTACATATTTAATTTACATGCATTATTTCTATTTTGAGAAAGGTTTATTTATTTTGGTTTGTAGGGGGCATTTTCCTTTAGAAAATATTTCTATTTTCAGTCTTTAACATTTTATAGTTTTAATCTCTAAAATTATTATTATTTTCACTGAGACAATGATAGCATAGAACTTGGAATATTTTGGGACTCTATCCCTAGCATAATTTCTATTGATTTCCCAAACAGGTATTTTCTGGGAGTAATAGGTTCAGGGTCTTGAATCTTGTTTTCTTTTTCAAGCTCCTGTTTTATGATTTTCCCTCTGGGAGCATGAAATAGGGAACAGCAATCACAGCTTTTTGCCGGGTGTGGAGGGAGGGACTTAGGGCTTAGCATGTCAACTTAAAGATTGTTTTTAGATAAATGAGGATCCTTTGTGTCACAGAAAGCCATGTATTGGTTACTTTTGAAAATATACAATGAGAAGCTAATAGTTATTCTTATTAGGTATTAAAATTTATTTTTGCCCTGTCCTTACTTGTTGCCTTCTTCAGGGGGAATAAAAGAATTAAAAATGCAGAGTAAGGCAGCTGCTAACTTAAAAGTACTATACTAGCAGAAGGGATTATAGTGTCCTTATATTACCTGTCAATGGTTTCTTGACCTCTAGATGCCCCCCTTTTCTTGGAAGCATTTTGAAAAAGGTCTCAGATTTTCTGTTTAGGACTTCATACAATCAGGATTCCCACTAGAGATTTAATAAACAGAAGTATTGTACTCTCAAAAAGGACGGACTGCTGACCAAATATCTCATTATCTTTCCTAGAACATGCAGCAATTCTCAAGAGCCCTCAGAATATACCAAATAAATCAGACAGTACCATCAAAAACCTGGCAAGGATGAGTGGGAAACATAAGAGTTAAGAAAGTAATTTCATCTTGATCTCCAACAGGTTAAACATTCTATCTACAATCTTGAAGCTGTTTATAGTCACTGCCGATACTCTGTTCACTTAGGAAAAAAATGTATTACTCCAGAAACCAAGAACATCATCATTAGTCTGCTGCTGCTGTGACTGCAGGGGATAAGAACATTTTCCAAGCCATTTTTAATTGTCAGTAATTTTCATCTTAATTATGGGTCCAATTTTGAAAAGGAAAATTTACTGCATTTCTTTAAGGGTCATTCTAGGCTATTTATATAAGCATTTACTTCACCCCTCCCCGAAACCAATAAGAACACATTTTTATTCATTCACAAAATTGGTCTTTTGCAGAAAATGGAATTGATAGGTCTTAAGCTTCAATGGAATTTTATTGAGCAAAAATAGGGAGGACTAAATTACTAGGCACTGGGAAGAAAAAAGGCAACTTACTACTCTTTAGAAACAAACATGTCAGGTAATTAAATATTCAGACAAGAAGAAGGAGGAGATATCATAAAAACAAGTGTCTGTTACTTTGTAAGACAATGTCCTATGGTGGTTTTGGATGTAGTGCTAACTGCTGTGTAGTTATTAGGAAGAAAGGACAGACCCTTTCCAACCCCAGAAAAAAAACCATAGAAGTTCTCTCAGATCCTCATCATCCAGTTGCATGTTGTGATTATAATTTTGTAGCTGATCACACTTAATGAGTAAAAGCATGAACTGCCTTTTTTCAAAGGGGAAACACCCAAATGTGGTCAAGCTCAAGTAAGCCCCCACTTTCTTCCCACCCAAAGAACCATTGTTAAAGAACCAATTCAAACACCCTTACTTACATGTTCTGCAACCAGATTGAAGACCATGGATCACTTCCTGGAAATCAAAACGTTTTAGAAAGAAAGAAAAGACATATTTGGTGCACAGACTGTGCAGTTCTGGTAGCTGTTTGGCAAGAAAACACAAATACCCCTTTTCTAGTTTCTTTTTTCAGGCTTGGCATAGATTTTCAATCATTCAGTGGGTTCTGAAATCTTACTGAAAAGAGAAAATACTGAAAAAAGAGAAAATACTGAAAAGAGAGCAAATACTGGAAAATGTTAGTTTTTTACTGCAACACCAGCCAACAAAATTATCTGGGGGAAATCTGTAACAGCATTCAAACACTTGTTCATTTTATCCCTTTGTGTCTACTTCATCCTTTAAATGATCAGACTACTTTCAAGCTTCTGGTACTGATCATACGCTGTCATATAGAATTTCACTGTAACCTTGATTGCGTTATTTTGTTTTGTTTTGATGAGGGGAGCAAGAGAGAGAAAGGGGGGGAGGGAGAAAGGGGGAGGTGCTGCCTGCTTGTGCAGTTCCCCGGGCTTGCCTCAAGGAGGCAGAGTCTGAGAACAATGCTGTGCAGCTAAAATGTTAAGCTGTTCGCCTTGAATGTTAACTAGGTGCTATTTAACTAGGTGCTATTTGCTTGAGGAGGATGCAACAGAACAATATTATTGTTGAAGACGAGATGCAGGTGGTTACATCTGCACCAGAGAGCAACTACATAGCAACACCTAGGGTATTGGACAAGGGGATTGCTGCCAGCAATTTGAGCATTTACCCAAATCCAATATTTTCAACGTTTTCTAGAGTCACTGATGATGCCTTAACAGATGGTGAGGATTCTTAACCCAATTGCACAAGCTAAGTGACTCAACAAATGACCAGCTCTACTAAGAACAAACTAGGGGTCAGATTCCTCATCCCCTGCCAGAACTGACAAGTGCCTGTAAATCAGTTGGTTAGCATTTCCAAATGAACATGTTGTAGAGGAGGCAAAAATGATTTCCTATACCACTTATCCTCCATCTGCCAGACAACAGACATTTCCCTGCCATGGTGGGGAAGATGCTTTTCCACTATCACTGGGCTTATTCCTGGAGCTTCTGGCCACGGAAAGACTGAGCCAAAAAAAAAAAACAGCAAGTAACTGGCCATTCTAGTGATCAGATCTCCAGGTATTAGAATTCCACTTGAAAGGGACACAGCTAAGAAGGTCCCTATAGGTTTTCCATTCACTGGCTTCTGGGAAACTCTTTGAAAAGAACAAGAGCAAGCACCAGATTAGGTAATTTTCATGTCTGTCTGCCCCACCCTTTCCCTTTTAGAGATCATTGATGGAGAAGGGCAGGGGGCAGGTTTTTGAACCGTGAGCCTTCTTACCATCCTTTTATTTATTTTTAATTGTTTTTATTATAGTATCCTGATGAACAAATTTGTATTATTTTAAATACATATTCTTATTTTAGGCACTGTGATTTACAATACTGTTAATGAAGGGTTTCCCTCATAAGAGGGAAAAACACTGCCCTTGATTTTTCCTTGTTGCGAGATTTTGCTTCAGTCTTTTCCTGTTTTCAGTCCTTTATAATTGCAGTTGTTTTGTAAACTCAATTCTCCCTTCTCATAACTCAGTAAACTAACCTGCGCTTCCAAATCCATTTTCAAACGCTCCCTCCCTGAGCTACAAGTGTGCCTTCCAAACCCGGATTTGAATGAGTCACCAGGAGTTAGGCATCAGGCTTGATGGGCATTGTTGGTGCGGTGTTATTTGTTTGATTTTGGATTGGTTCGCTTTTTCCTGCAGAGGAAGCTAAGAAGTATGTATGCATTATTGCTTTCAGTTTAGATAAACTGAAGTTTTAGGGGAAAGGATGATGGGGGAAGGGCGGCGCACAGAGAAAGCAAAAAGATAGACTCCTGCTGAAGAGCAAACCGGTTTTCAGAGGTTTAAGGCTCCTCCCCAAATTGGGAGGGTGCGTGAGGATCCTCCACATGTCTTATTCTCCAGCTAAGTGAGACATTTAGGAAGGTTTCTCTGAAGACTGCAAGAGACAAATAAGCGTTCCCATTCACATAATCCCATTCACCAAGTCCCTTTTCTCTGGGTTGAAACCAAGATTCCCAGACCATTCCAACTGCTCCTGTGCGGGATGCTAGGCTCCCGCTTGTGCTTGTAACGTGGCCCATCGCTATTTCACTGTTGCACCTACCTGCGGGGAAATCCTGCAGATGGATGGAATGGTGGCTTCGACATACGCATGCTCTTCTCCCCCACTCCAACCCCCCGCCCCACGAACCCTGCCCTTCCCCTGCAGTGCGCTTGGGTGCCGCCCATCCCCTCCTTCCCACCAGAGGCACTAGCGCCCCAAGGCAGAAGCGCAGGGTACCTCCCTGGAACACAGCCAGTTGAGCCCCATCTGAGCACCTTCTTTTTAGTGGCAGGGAGGGGGCCAAGCCAATTGCTGCGGCTCCGCAGCTTAGGCCTCTGCGGCAGTGGCAGCAGCTAAGAGGTGTGTCCCTCCCCTCAATCCCATTCCTATGTACCCCAAACATCCGTCTATGTTCCTTGAACTCCCAAGAGCGCTTCCCTCTGTTTTTCTAGATATATTCAGTGACTTCTCCCACGAGGAAAACTGCTCCTCAAAGCCCATTTCTAGCTAAAAAAAAAAAAAAAGCTACTCTTTCTTCCACATGTTGCTTCCCGCCTTCATGCTGCTTCCCAGGCCCCGTGCTCCCTGCTCTCCCATCTCTGTATCTTTTGAAGCGTCTTTGCCCTTTGGTGGCTGCTAAACGGGATTCTAGGGGTACCACCAGCTGAATCAGGCAATCGGGCCTCGCCTTCTGTACTCTTCCCTCAGGGGTCTTTTCCTTACCTTTATGCTGGAAGGTAGTCTTGGTGATCGCGGCAGCGACGGGGTGGTCAGCGCCTTCGCAGCGACTGTCAGACGCGGCAATAGGCATGGTGCTGGATTCGGCTCCGGACAGCTCTCGGGAATTGGTTCAGGGCATGAATCTGTGGCTGATTCAGGAATCGGTTCTGGGACCGATTTGGGGGCAAGCTCTGGGTTCGACTCTGGGGCCGGTTCTGGTGGAAGTTCTAAGAGCGGCTCTGGGGCCGGGTCTGTGTCTAGTTTTGGAACCAGCTCTGGGGCAGGTTCTGAATCTAGTCCTGGGACCGGCTCGAGGGCCCGATCTGGTGCAGATTCTGGGACCCATTCCGGAGCAGGGTCTATGTCTAGATCTGGGACCGGCTCTGGGGTCGGTTCTGAGTCTAGTTCTGGGACCGGTTCTGGGGCGGGTTCTGAGTCTATTCCTGGGACCCACTCGGAGGCCGGTTCTGTGGCAGATTCTGTGACTAGCTCTTGGGCCGGCTCTGGGGCTGATTCTGGTACGGGTTCCCGGGTCGGTTTGGGACCTGGTTCTGAGATTTGTTCTGAGTCTAGTTCTATGTCCAGCTCTGGCGGTTCCGAGTCTGGTTCTGGAATCGGATCTGTTTCTAGTTCTGCGGCTAATTCTGGGGGCGCCTCCGGACCGAGTTCTGGAGAAGGCTCAGGACAGAACTGCGGTACCGGTTTTGGCGAAGGGGCAGTGGGGAGCGGGGGAGCGGGCGGCGGCGGCTGCGGCGGCGGCGGAGGCTGCGGCGGCTGCGGCGGCTGAGGCTGCGACGGTTTTGGCGGCGGCCACGGCGGCGGCTGTGGGGACGCCGCGATCTGCTCTTCATCCTGAGGCTGGCCGGTGCCCGTGTCCATGGCGGCACGCCGTCTCAGGTCAGAGCAGAGGGTACCCCAGAGCTCAGAGAGCTAGGGCGCCCTAGGGCGCCCCACCCACTCCTGTTCGATCACCCAGCTGAGGGTGTCAAACTTTCCTGCGCACTGCTCCATGGCTGGCTCCGTTCTGAGGTCTGAGCCTGGGGCGCTGCTAGTCTTTTAGTGCTGGAACACGCCCCTCGGTGAGCGCACACCTCTCTGCAGGCTGCCACGGGCCCGATGGGCGGGAAGCAGAGGGGCTTGCGAACGCGGACTGGACAGAGCGCCTGATGACCTCCTAGCGACGCGCGGGAGAGGAGGGGGGACAAAAAAGGGAGGGGGAGAATAAAAGGGGAGGTATGGAGGGAAGTGAGCGGGGGGCGGGGGGGGGGGATTGGAGACTGGTCGCATTTAACCCTTTAGTGGCTCGAATGTAAAAAAATTTTTTCCTTGTAAATTTTTTTCTTGTAAAGCCAGAAGCCAACTTGAAGATCTTGCAATCCCTCCCCACCCCTAACAATTAAGCTGTGAGCTGCTGTGGCTAACTGCCTCAGTCCTGGCTCTCCTTTCTCACCTCAGCAGCAGGTGAGCTGCCTAGCTTGGGATTCAGCTCTTACCACCCCCACTTTTGCTCTGAACACAAGTAATCAGTTGTTTTTTGGTTTGTTTTTTGTTTTTGTCCAACCTTGGAAAGGAAACCTAAGCCTTCCTTGTTTGGGTTTGAGTGTGTGTGTGTTTGTGTGTGTCTGTGTGTCTGTGTTTGGGTGTATGTGGTGTGTTCAATCCTTTGGATTGAAGTAAAATGTATCCCATTAAATTTTTGCATTGCCTAGCCTCACAACATGTATTGGGTACAAGGTTTGAGGTGCTTTGGCAGAGCAGAATAATAGAGAAGAACTGGAACACGGGCTTTCTGCAACCTGCAGATGTAGCCCAGAGAGAAAGACACAAGATCCTGGGAAGCTGTGGATGGGCTCCCTGGGTCTTCTGACTGATCTTATCTCGATAGGCATATGTCTGTCTGACTTGCCTTTAGAAAAGGAAACTGACTTTTGATTTTAACTGGACTTTGCAGGCAATGGCTGGACTTTTCACTGAAGTTGTTAATTGTGTGTATCTGTAAATCTTGGGGTGGGAAAAATTCACTGCAACATCCATATCTTTTTTACATTCTGCTACCTCCAAAGCACCATAACATTAGAGATGGAAAAGTGCCCTTTGAAAAGAACTGCGGGTCCCTGCTGCAGTACCCTTCCCACCCCTTAAGGAGATTCTAGAAACTGTCGTTTGTTAGTCACGTACACACATATGAACCATCTCCTCTGTCACATCTACACATTGGACGCCAGTATGCTGCCAAATTGCAATTAAAATTTGTGAGGATCACCCGTTAAACCACTGCTGCAGGGGGATGGGGGAAAGTACTTACAAACCTAATTTGAAATATGACAAGTAAATTTATCTCCCCACTCATAATGCTGCAATTGTGTATAGCAGCCCTCCTTCTGCAGACCTTCCTCTCACCCTCCCCTCCCAGATCATATCCTGTTCTACTCCTTCTTTTGCCTACTGGCAGTGACCCACTGGAAATTTTCTAGAACCTACATCAGTTTGCTGTTCTCTACACCACGTTTCAGCAGGAAATAATGCAGAAGACAGTCTCACTTAGTCCCCTCCAAAGACCAGAATCTCTGATGATATCTAAATTTCAATGACCCTCACTGCTGCAGCTTAGGCTAAACCCACCTTTATGGAGAAAAGTTATACTTCTTGGCAGCTACCCAGCTAGGGTTATCCTTAACCTCGGGGTCTGTATCAATCCAAGGAACCTGTGTCCTGTCTGTCAAGCACATCATTGGTGGCAGATTCTTCCAATAGATTAGCACAAAAGGTTTATCTTCTTCATCCTTTTGGGGGCTTTTTCACCTCTCAGCTATGTAATATGCAAATAATCATGTTGTTTTTAACCCCAGAATGGAATTCGGGATGGAAGAGTACAGGTAAATGTCAGAGCAGAGCAGTCATTAAGCTTAGTGTTGGAGATCACTTCTCAGACTTTCAGCTTTCTTGGTGAAATTTCTGTCCTAAAAAAGAGCCAGTACTTAAGTCTCATTTTCTCTAAAACCTGGGACATAGGTAGAACTGAAGGCTGAGCAGCCACTGAGTAGGTTAACTTACTGAGTTAGCAAGCAATTGGGTAAGGTTTGGTACAGACCTGTTGTCTTCCTAGCAGGACACCACCAGGGAAAACTTGGAGCTGTGACTTTATGTATGTTCATTGAAACTCTTGTCTATAATTTTATACTTGTTCACAAGGACTCCAATATTTAGGTGTAGGCTCTTGTTGCAAGGTCAGTTTGTGTGCTAAAATAGTTGGGTATGATGTGCATGAGAAACAATTATTAAGTACTGTAAACCACAGTATCTCAAAATAAAATTTTAAAATAAAAATAAAATAGTTGGGTATGACTTTTGCTAATAAGAATGGGTTACTAAAGAAATATAATTGCCTGATTATGTTATATTAATTCTATTAAAATTCTTATCACATCGCATACCTTACATTATATCAAGGTTTTGTTTTCTTTTGATTTTAAGCTTATTTTCAGCCAAAAATTTAATACAATGTTTTTCATGTGGGACCATGGAACAGAGGGGGAGGAGAGATGGGTGATGGTGGTTAGAATGGGTCAATTGATGCCTGACTTGGGGCAGTCACTTTGGCTGTATTGTTTCTATTTGTATCTTTTCCTCTCTTCTCCACTCTCCCCAACAGGCAGCTGATTTCATGACAAAGGAACATTTTTTCAGACGTTCCTAAGCTTACTTGGCATAGTGCCCTCTTTTCATAAAAAAAATCACTCAAAACCTCCCTGGAAGTCTATTTTCCTTTAAGCAAAGAAAGTGATTTCGCACCCCCCCCCCCACACACACACACTTACTTAGAACCTGTCCTACTGGATCCTTCCAATGCCCCGAGGGGGCAGTATTGCCTACTTTGGGAAACACTAATAGATACTTGGATGTTTTCCTCAAAACTTAATCTGCAGACCAGTTCTTAGGTTCTGTTGCCTAAAATTAAAATTAAAAATACTATATAAAAAACCCTGGGGCTGTGTCCATAGTAAGGAATTGGGAAATGTAAGTTAAATGAATTATTCATCACATATCACCACTTTTGTGTATCCTTTTTTACACTGCTTTTAAACAATATTTGATATTTCAGATGATTGGTGATCTCCTAAGAATCTCTCTTATAACTGAAAAACTATGATATAAAAGCCAAGATCTATAGAAAACTAAGACATCTGCACAGAGAATTGAGGGACTTGAGTTCTGGATATCCCAGGGCAGCCTTGGTCCCTAACTAGAGGCATGTTACAAAAGCTATGTACTTGGGCTGGATGAAGGATAAATAAGTACAGTGGTTTCTATCTTCTATCCAAAATCAATTCCATTTAACTTAGCATAGAAAGCCTTTTATTACAGACATGTTATAGGTTGGGGAGAAGTAAAGGGAAAAAACCTGAAAAATGTGGGAAAATTAAAGCCACTATCACTCTTTTTGTTCATTTTCTTTTCATTATCACAGGAAAGAGTGACTCTGCAAAGTTATATTGGAAACCCTTTTAAATTGATCAATAGCTACAATTTCCTCGAAACCTCCCTTTTAGAGCAATTTAAGGAAGAACTAGGTGCTTCTCTTGAATCTTAGCAGCTGCTAACACTCCCCCCATCACCATCCACACACACAGTCCTGCCACCTTAACACTGAAAAGATAAAACAGTGAACTTTATAATAATCTACTAAATAAGATAAAGACATGGGATGAAGAGCATTTAGGGAAAAGGTAGAGGATTCAGACTATTTACCTTGTTTTCTTTTTTATTTTTTCTTTTCTTTAATTGAATCACCATTATACAGTTGCAAAGTTGTCCATGATTGACTTTCAGACATACAATGTTCCAACACCCATCCCTTCACCAGAGCACATTTTCAGCCACCAATAATAATGTTCCCAGTTTCCCTCCCCCTGGTCCCTGTGAAGACCACAGGCACTTTTCTTCTTTCTCTCTTATTTTGCTTTTAGGCAGGGTGGTTTGCAAAACTGTAACTAAAAAGTTATCATGTATATTACTTCACCTCCTTTTAGCACTCAGTTTCTGTCCAGAGTGGTCATGTCCACCTATCATTTCTACCTATCATAGTCTTAGAGACCCCTTCTCTGCCCTAATTGCACTCCCCTCCCCCCTTTGTGGCAAGATTCGTAACATGACCAGTCCTCCTGACTCTTGTTTCTACTTTCTTTGCTTATTATTTACATGTCTTTTTATATATGGAATTGATATGCAAGACTCTTGTCCTTTACCTCTCTCAGAATTTAACTGATACAGTGTTGAAAATTTAGAAGTTAATATTTGCATTCATACAGTGCCCTTTGCTTTTAAAAGGATATATATTACTTGAGCATTCAAAAAATGTTTGATAAAAAGAAAGTCTGGACATTTATTCCACAGCCTCTGCCTCCACACGTTTTAAACACAAATCCAGTGAAATCAAGTAATTTCAAGGTCAGAGAAAACTAGTGGTGCAAGGGACATTTAGAACTTGTGTCACTCAACTCCTAGTTGAGGGCTGAATTGGGGTTTTGAGTGGAAGCTGTGCAAATTCTCTGAATCACCACAAAATGGAAAGTCCTTTTTAATGCCTTTGTATTTCTTGAGGAGATGAGGAGATTCATTTTCCATAATATGGAGCAATAGCACACGGGATAGGGCATTTGCCTTGCATGCGGCCGACCTGGGTTCCAATCCTCCACCCCTCTCGGAGAGCCCAGCAAGCTACTGAGAGTATACTGTCCGCATGCCAAAGCCTGGCAAGCTACCCATTACGTATTCGATATGCCAAAAACAGTAACAAGTCTCACAATTGGTTGTGAGACGTTACTGGTGCCCACTTGAGCAAACCGATGAACAATATAGCTGGAGCTATAGCACAGCGG